CTGGCGTACAAGTGATAATATGATAAATGTGATTACTCCACCGATATTTACTATATGGGGGTAGCTATCTTGACCACTGATTGAAACTAAATAAAGAGACAAGTTGAGAAACAGTTTCCTATAAATCAGGTAGAAAATCGACCGACCCCCTACTGTAATATAGATTCATCCAGAGTGGGCGTGACCACAGAACGGCGCCAGCGAGATTCGAAAGCCAACCGTTCAGTCAAAACCCAAGCAGTTAGCCAATTTGCTAGCGAGTTTGCAAATTTGCTGCCCCAATACTTTTGAAACTTGTTGTAACAATTTGTTTTTTTGGTTTGCAAGACAGGTTGTAAAGAAAAGTGGTCAACCATTACCCACTTGAAAACCATATTTTTTCTCATTCAAATACTAGTGTTACATTTTGCATGTTATTATGTATTTATGTATTTCGTTATTAATTTTCAACCAGTAACAGTAAACAGTAATTTCCTATCGGCTAATTTTCTTGTGCAATACATTGTACTTTGAATAGAGTTGTTGAATCATAACAAAGGTTGACTTTGATAACCAAAATGTTATTAAAAGGCCATGCAGCCGATACACCAGACCATATGTGTTGTTTTCGAATGAGTTTGACTTGACTACCATCTAATAAAGTGATCCTATTTTTTACTAGCTTGCAATTACATCAATTAATCTCTACATTTTACCAGATGGTCAGATGAGTGACACAGGAATGGAATTTGGTCGAAACTGATTTTCATTATTTCATACCTGGTCCCAATATCTTACAGTTGGTAGGTGAAACATTTCTGCAATGCGTGATCTAAATCTCAGATTTTGTTCAAACTTGGTATGTACATTGAACTCATTGGAACCTTGATGCATATTTTGTTTTACCAATTCATTAAATTTATAATACCAACTTCAATTGACCCATACTTTCATCTGCGTGGAATTGTTCCTTTCACACTTGATCCTTTCTTTTCATTGGAAGGTCTGATTGTTAGCTCATAAAATTTCTCTTTTAAAAAAGTACCAATGGTCTGTGTTATTTTCAACGAACCCCAGCGACAAAGACAAAACAGGCAACTTATTGCGCCTATACAACCCTGTCACTGACAGTCACACATTTATGACACAAACACAGATAGGTACACATGAAAAATAAAGTTTATTACTTTGGCAAAACAGGGGAGCACACAACGAAATCCATTGGCTTACAAAAAATATACCAGGATGTCATGAGCCCCCATCATGTGAACGCAAGAACTCTGAAATAATACACAACTCAAAAATCTGTGTTAGTAATGAAGCTTCAGCCGCTGGGGCTGTAGTGTAATGAGAGATTGCAGCGTGACTGCAATTTGAGGTATAGGCAGCGAAGGCTGCGTCTATACTGTGGAGGAGCAGCGTTGGCTGCAAGAAGTTAGTAGTTATGGTAGATGCAGCGTGGCTGCAAACTACCGAAGTTAGCTGTTTGAAGCAGCATGGCTGCAAATGGATGGTTAATGAGGCATTAATAAAATACATAAATCTCTATCTAGATAAAAGTACAACTATAGATAACAGTACAACTATAGATAACAGTACAACTAAGTAAAAATATTATCTTGGGGGGATATGAGCCCCATGAAACTATGGCGAAGTCCCCAGAATGATGTAATGATAATTACAGAATAACCCTCGCTTAGTTTTGTACTCTTATATTTTCATGACTACTCATTTAGGCACTATCTAAGGTAAGTTTATTCAGCCATCACTTCACCACTATGCAGCCAGCATGTTTTGAAGTGCGCCCTCATTGGCAAGTTGATATCTAGTGTCTACAGTGCTCATATAAGAGTCCACCATTTCTAATCTTTTTTTTTTTTTTTACTTTCATTGATGTAGGCTACAACACCTCTGATTGGTCATATTCCTTGCCCAATCAGATGTATGTTATTTTACAGAGATCAAGTACACGTTCTCTTGGTAGAATCACTCACAGGTTCGTGGGGCAGTATGTCTACATCAAGTTCATGCAAACCATGTGGTTCAGACAACTATTATTAAAGAAGCACTGTGATCTTGTACAAAAGCATGCGAAAAAATAATAGACTTGTATTCTTGAATGATTTATGTGGTGGAACTGCAATGCAGCAGTCACCTATCAGAATATTTGCATGGTTTCAGGATTAGAGATTTTATCTCTATCCAGGTCTTGCGCCCTCTATTGTTTGAGATTTCAAATGCTTGTCAGAAAGAACTAATTATTGAAATAAATGAATAGCGCCCTCAAGTGTTGACAGTATATCTACCAAATCAGCATCTCCAGTGGACTCACTGACCTTCTCAGTTGTTTGTATCTCACAGGTCCAGTTCAATGGGTAACAATATTATGTATCGTGACACATACACACAAGCAAGTCAAGATGGATGAGTGGCGGCCATTTTAATGCCATTCCAGAACCAGATCTCGGCATCAACAGATATCGCTCAGACTTAACACATACATTGAACATACAGATATGACCTTGATGCATGTCTTTTTGTTTTTCAAATTTAACTCAAAATGGCCGACTGACAGACATTTTGTATTAAAGAATGACATTTCACTGTGACATCTTTGACATGCCTTGATTATTCCAGTTTGGTTTTCTATTTCACAACAGGGACTGTGTCATTGTTGTTTTTCAAATGGGAGTCAAAATAAATCACTTCATTTTGCATACACTTCTATAGGAGATCTGCTTCCAATTAAAGAAATACAGCATACATACTGTAGTCTTGTGAAAATAAGGGCACTGAATGCAGTGTGGCATTAGCAGTACAAGATGCAATTGAAAATAAATTACGCTATATTATATTTTGTGGCATACGTTCATCAGCTATAGTTTTGTGTTCATTTCAGCGTAGAGCAAATTTCCCTTTTAATAACTAATTATAACTATACAAACATGGCAAGTCCACTGCAACGCAATGTTCTGCTTTTGCCATGGGGATTAATAGTGGTTTGAATGTGTCAATTTAGATCATGTTTGTGCATGAATCTGTATAGTGGATGGTAATTACATGACTTTTGGTAAATATCATTCAAGCTACCGAACAACAAAATATTGGCAACTAGTTTTTTTCTCTTTCAATGCCAATTATGGAAATTTGTCACATTAACAAGCAGGACTGCCTTGCAGAAGATGGTGATGAGGTTAAGGAGAATGAACCATCAAACCCAGATTAATATTTACATATAAAACAATAATTTATTCGTAGATTTTTGAGAATGACATGTTTGATGAGATTGAGGAAGTCAATTGTCAGCACATTACAGCATTGAAGTACAATTCTCAATTTCCTACCTATTTTACAATGGTTTCTACCTAAAGATAAAACAGTTATGCCAACGACCAGACCTTATTACTGCAGCTCATAGGGGTAGATAGCAGTGTTCCCCTCCCATTCCATCCATTAGCAAAATACATACCCTTAGAGATTGAAGAATAAAATTAACCTAGGTAACTAATATGCATTGAAGCCGCTATGAAACAATAGAATATACAACAAATAAGGCACTGATATAATACAAAAGTAAACAAAAGCAGACGGAACTAGTTCATATTTTTTATGCCTTTTTTCTCTTCCAGAAAAAAACAAAAACAGTAAAATGATTGAATTTTTATTGGCACAATTTACTGTGAAACATTGCATTCTGGGAAACCTACAGAATTGATACAAGATGAAAAGATTTGCTACACAATGTTCAGAAAAAAAATTTCCCATCATTCATTGCAGTTCAACAAATAAGCATGCATTGTCAACAGTTTCGCAGTTATGAATTTTTGCCATCAAAATTTGTGAGCAGTTTTTTTGTCTTCTATAACTTATTTAAGTATTGATTATTCATCATTACTCGCTTACTTTGAAGATAACAAGCACACAAATTGAACAGAACTATTTTGTTAATGGTGGTGAAAAGCTTCTTGGTGAACAATTTTACAAGAAATTCACAGTGCATTGTGGGAAGTTTTCACTGCCTGTACAGAAAAATTGGTAATTTATAAAACTTTGAAAAAAAAAATGGCAATTGCAGAAAAAAAAAATAACAGGAAGACAATATCTACAAATTTGTCTTGTTAAATATATTTACATTCAGCATTGAAAAGTATATGTGCAGTACTGAAACTTTTAAAAAATATAAGTTAAAATAAAAAAAAAAAGTCTTATTTTGGAACCTAACTTTATTTGTGGTCTCAGGAGGGCGCTAGTTCATTTCATTTTCAAAAAAAATGATATTAAAGTGAAAACCAAATTCAATTATCTATCGATGAGGTGTCATAAGACTTGCGATATTCCATCCAAATTAGATAAATTTACATATCATGACTCACTCATTACGATCGCATTATTCAATTTACTCACCTACAGTGCATTGGCAACGCAACTAGATTTCACAATGCTGATAAAAATGGTATGGTTTGTAACTTATGTTTGTTAAATGTTAACTCCAGTTATTACTCACAACTGGGTTTTTATTATGAGCTGTTGTTCGTTGGTTTTTGTATATATGTATATATAAATATATATGTATTGCACTCGTAAATGTAAAGCTATACAGTTAATAACCAGTATGTATGTGCGTATGTAAGTTTTCTGTCTGTCCGCGTGTGTTCATGCATGTGCGTGTGCGGGGAGGTATTTACTATTGGATCATGAAATAAACTCAAATTCAACACATACTAAGTTTATCTCAGCAATAGACAGGTCTACTTTTCATTTTAACAATCACTAAAAATCTCTTGGGTGACAACACATTTTCAACACCAGGAAAAAATACATACCAATAGAAATTATGAGTGCGTGTTAAAAAAAAATGTCCTGTCCATATACAGTTTAAGATACACCAATTGGCAGTAGGGTAAAGCTCACTTGTTACACCATACATAACATTAATAAGTATACAAAGTACAGATTTCTAATAATAATAATAATAATAATAATGAACTTGAAGTCATTCTCTGTATTCATATGTACAAGTATGGGGTCATTACATCAGGCTCATTGTACAAGTAAGCAGCTGTTATAAATTACAAATTTCTCAAGACAAAAAAAAAAAACCAAGAATTTGACTGAAATACAAAATAGACAATAAGCTTGTATAACAAGTCAGACTCTATGATGACTATTAGCAAGTGTCAGTCTATTTATATATTACAACATATATGGTACACACCAATGATACTTCTTGCAAATTCACTTATTTTAAATCAGACCTAAAAAGCTCATTCTACAAATTAGAGGCATCAGAAGTCAAAAGACAATAGCTTGAGTTCTCGCCAATATGTTCTGTAAATCATAAAAATCAGCTCCAGATTTGAGTCCGTGTTTTGTCTTTATTACACAGTGGTTACATTTAGTAGTGGATTGAACTGTTTCAGCGTTTCAGGACTTAGTTTACTACCATGCGCAAGCATTTCCTGCACTGTCACAAAGTCGTCAAATATTTTTCGTCCTTTCTTTTTCAACATTTTCTTATGACTCAATTCTACAATGCTTTCTTTCTTAATTGCATCGCCATCCTCATTCTGTTCTTTCAAAGATTCCATTCGTGCCCTAATCATAAACTCTTTGCGCTGTTTTTGGTCCCTGGCCCTCTCTAAGTGCCTCTTTTTGTCTTCTTTGCTCCAATAGCGACCAGTTTTGACTTCGCTAACAGCATCATCATCTGTCGTCATTCCGCTCCTTTCCTCTCGAATCCTATTAGCTCTCTGTTTCAGTAGACGATCTCTGACTGGTCTACGCGTTATGTATCGCGTGCCATCACTTCTGACTTTTACTTTCCATTCTGTATCTGGCTTTTCTTTCTTAACAGCCGAACTCAACGACATGTCTTCACGTTGCTGAATTAAATGGAGATAACTCTGATAATGCTGCGCGTAACTAGGCACGGACATTCCAACCTCAGAAAGGCGATGCATACTGCGTCTTAGATGCATATTCTGTTCATGTAGCTTTCTGTTCTGTTCTCGCAAACACGAATTTTGTTGATTAATGCCTCCATTGTCATTGGAAACCTGTTTTCTATTGCTGTTCTTCTGATGATGGCTTGATGAAATCTGATTTTGATTGGAGTCTCGTTTATCTTTACTTGGGCTACTCATTCTTTCTTTGGCACCAGATTTTTCTTTTGGTTTAGACTTAGAGGGACTTCCAGCCCTTTGAGATTTCCCATCATGCTTTGTTGGTGTGCCACATTTATTTATTTGTTTTCCAGAACCAGAACTTTCTTTTTCAGAACTGCTATCTCGGTTTCTATCCTTGTTTCTAGTTTGTTCAAATTCTGTGCTTGATCTCAAGTGCAAGGTCAAAGCAGCTCGTGCTTGTCCGAGTTCCTCTGTTTGAATGCTTTCCTGGCTCGGCTCCCTTCCCAACTTTCCTTGTTTCTCTTTCTCACTGTCCGACGACATTCTTTTGAGACTTAATTGATCTTCAGGTATAGTAGTTAGTATGATTTCGTGTGACCTTGCGAAATCTTGAGCAACCCACACATCATCGTCAGTTTGTCTGCTGATGTCTCCTTCATAGACAACATTGTTGTATCCGAGGTTGTCATCAGCGTATAATGGCAGGTCAGAGTTGTGTAAATGATGTATGTAGTCCCGTGACGAGGAATCAGTAGCACCGATTGTATCATTTGTACGACCGTTACACTCGGGCACTGATTTACATTGTGATCTGTCACACTTACTGGCTAGGGCTTCTTTAAATTTCATGCATTCTTCCACAGAAATTTCATGTCCCGTGAAATCTTGGTCAGGTAGATCTGTTGAAGTGAAGCTGTCGTTACTATGTCTCAATTCACCACCACTGCCGAGGCTGCCAGAATCGCCTCCTGGATTCTTCTGACAATCATCGCCAAGAATTTCTTGTTCTGAGCTTTCATCGTTGCGAGTGCTTTCATCTGTTCTTCCAACACCACTGTCTTTCTCGTGGTGAGTGGACGTATTTTCTGTAGTCCCTGTGTCGGTGGTGCCACCTTCGTCATTATGGCTACACTCCTGGAATTCAAAAGATTGAAAACACAATCAGCAAATATTTCAAGTAATTGCATTACATAGTCTCTGCTGGTTAATAGGTTTAAAAAATATAGTTTTATTCATTGTAATATAGTTTAGATATATATATATATGGATTCAACACTGCATGTGTTAAAACAAAAATGACCGCTAGTCAGCCATTTTGACTGAAACTGTTCTGAAAAACAAAATAACATACATCAAGGTTGTTGAATAATTTGTTCCAGAATGGCAGAAATGCTTGATTTTGATGAATTTTTAGCCCAAACATGGCCACCATTCAGCCATCTTGAATCAGACCATAAAACAAATAGACATGCATATTTCTCCCAAGATATGTGATGTATATTCAAAGTTTGAATGTGAACGAACACGCATTGAGGTTGAAACATTAGTCATCGTTTTTGGACTGCATTTGAAAGAGGACTATATCTATCTATATAGAGTTGTCGCTATGCCAATGGCAGATGCCTATCTCAATAGTTGTCACTATTTATGATGACGGTGATAATACTTGATAATCACAACATTGGTCACAGAATAATAATTTTTGCGATAATCTTGTTTCTGAATTTGTAGCAATACATGATTAACCTGATGTTATAAGTCACCACCTATCTAGAAAATCACAGCAACAGTTTAAGAGAAGAATTACACATTTGATCACAATGCCTACTAGACATTTATTTTGTTTTTAAATTAACTTTGGGAATGGGGGGGGGGGGGTGAACCAAAGGTATTATAAAAAAAATCCTCTAGAAATTAGTGAAAACATTGTGCTTTTGCCATGGGTAATAGTGCTTAATAGAATTATTTTGCATACATTGGTGCAAGCCATGGGCTAGAAATAATAATATTACGGATGAAACAACCACAGAAAGTGATCATCATGCACAAGATATTACATTTGGGATATCAGAGAACATTATCAATAACTGTTCAAGATAAGGAAGGGGTGGGAGAGTGAAAATCTACATACAAATTAGCTGGAAAGATAACACATTAATTTTTCAATAAGATACTTGTTTAATATTCCAGAAAATAGTTAATAATGTAGGAAATATAAAAATAATTTAAGATAAAGATTACGCTAGAGCAACAATCTGCAAAAACAAAACACAATCTGATATAATCAAAAATGAAAGCTGTTCAATTGAATCAATTTCTTCAGCTGTAAGACAACCGAGTAGTTTCTGGAAAAACAACATCCACTCAGACTGTGTCACGGCGGAGTACATGTATTTGTCTACTCAATGGTTTTAGCCTCCGGATAAAATAAAATTCACTACAAGATACTGTATCAACGTAGAAAGAATAATTACCAAGGGAAACCCTATAGTTTGAGTATCCAGTTACTAATTACGTTTACAATACCAAATCACCATAGTTACACAAGGGACAACAAGATGCTTTTCATCTCATTCGAATTTCCTACTCTTTTTTTTTATTTTGTTCAATTTTTATATTAAAAAGATGATCAAAGAAAGCTTAGAAAGAACTCCCATGTGCTGAGAGTATTGGAGACACATTAAATATAATTCGAAATTACTTAGCTGAAAACTAATTATGCAAATCAGAAAATTAATATGACCAGATTTGAGTGTAAAACTAATGAGGTCTGCGCAATGTAACAGAAAATCTATGTCTCCAAGTTTAATTGAAATGTGATTAGAACCAAAAAATTATGAATTATTATGCTTATTAGGGAATTAATATGAACAGATTTTTACCCCAAACTAATTAGGTTTGTACATTGTCCTAGAGCATCTTT